GTATAAAAAAAAAAGTAAAAAATTTGTCAACTATAAAAAACACTTAGATATTCACAAATAGGTAATATTTTTTTTTTATATTTAGTACCTAGCAGTAGTTATTTGAAATTTGTTTTAAACATAAAAAATCTATTTATTATTTTTAGGAATGAATATGTAATTAACACGTTTAAATTTATTAACTTAGATACAACGGTAATAGTACATTTATTAATAATAAAAATCACAAAGTCATTCAATCAATCATTCAATCAATAATTCAATCAAATTTACTATCGACTATACGATGGTAAATTTGAATAAATACTCTCTGTAGTTCATTTTTGTATAAAAAATAGATATATAAATACATACAAAATAGAGCGTCGTTTTTCTAAATCGAATAATCGAAATAGTAAGTTTTCCTTAATTTTTATTGTTTAGTAGGTATCAAACGAAATGTCACTAGAAAGATATATTTGATCTAAAAAAATAGTTTATAGAGACATATTAAATATGTTCATAACTAAATTGGCGATATCGCAATTAGGTGCCAATTTATAAAAACAGTTGAAAATTTTTCAATATTTGTGATTGATTATTTAATAAGTACTCTGCTACGAACTAATGCCTGGTATTGCAGGCGTTCAAAGGCTACGGTAACCGCTTACCATCAGGTGGGCCGTATGCTTGTTTCCCACCTCAGTGGTATAAAAAAAAACTAACACGTTAATCATAGTATACGTTACAAATATAACCGCATAAAAACTTTGCGCTTAGGTAAGTACTTCATATTTCACGTCAACGTTTCAGTTCGCTAACAGAGCCATTTTTTAACTAATAGATCCGAAACATTGAAAATTATTTAATTGTTAATAGCAACGTTATAACACTTGGTCAAACTAAAGTTTTAAACGCTCTTAATAAATAAAAATATTCCTAACTATTTATTCTGATACCTACTATACGCAATGTCTTTCAATAAGAGATGGCTAATATCAGATATAGGGGGAAAAGGGATTATTAGTAATGGAGACTGAGAATCCCATTGCTAGCAATATACCCCACCAGGTCGACCTCCTCGCGGTTCTCCTTGGAAACTATCATGGTTAATTCCTAATGAATTCATCATGATGGGTTTCAACTGGCCTGTTTTCATTCTCATCGATCACGTTTCACTGGTGCTCCGCCAGCGTATCCCGTTAGCGCAGGCGGGGTTACCATACCATTTTCACCCATCAAAAAAAAATATCCGATATCTATATATTGAGTTCTTCTGAACATTGATGACTACCCATTGCGATAGGGGGGAAAGGGGTTATTAGCAATGGAGTTCGACAGCCCATTGCTAGCAATATAATATCAGGTCAACTCCCACGTGGTTCCCCCTGGAAACCATCGTGAACAATTCTTGTCGAAATCGTCACGATGGGCTAACTGGCCTGTTTCATCCTTACCTATCATCCTTCACTGGTGCCCCGCCGGTGTATACCGATAGCGCAGGTAAGGTTACCATTCCATTATCACCCATAAAAAAACCCCATTGCGATAATGCCCATAGCAGTCGTATATCTATATTCATTACTAGCTGTTGCCACCGACTTCGTTCGCGATTCCGTCGTTTTTCGTAAAATAAGTAGCCTATGTCCTTCCCCACGGTTCAGTAGTTTTGATGTAACGGACACATTTCCCTTCACCGCTCTGCTCCTATTGATAGTAGCGTGATGAAAAGTATACTATAACCTGCCCAGGAGTATGAAGAATAATTGTACCAAGTTTCGTTAAAATCCTGCGAGTAGTTTTTGTTTCTATAACGAACATACAGACAGACAGATAAAAATTTTACTGATTACATTTTTGGCATCAGTATCGATCACTAATCGCCCCCTAATAGTTATTTTGGAAATATATTTCATGTACAGAATTGACCTATCTACAGGTTTATTGTAAGTATAGATGAACGAATTTTTCTTTTCGATACTAAGTATAACATTAGATAACCGACTGTTAATATATCTGTTGGGGGGAAAGGGATTGTTAGTAATTGAGACTGAGAATCCCATTGCTAGCAATATACCCAACCAGGTCGACCCCCTCGCGGTTCCCCCTGGAACTATCATGGTTAATTCCTGATGAATTCATCATGATGGGCTAACTGGCCTGTTTTCATTCTCATCTATCACCCTTCACTGGTGCTCCGCCAGCGTATCCCGTTAGCGCAGGCGGGGCTACCATACCATTTTCACCCAACACAAAAAAAATCTGTTATTGGACCAATATATGTATAGATATTGTAACTACGATATACAGATATTGTTGTATATTACCCATTCTTAGTTCAAATGGCCTTAATATAGAATAATAACCTCATATGCGCTATTGGTATGTGCTGATAGAGTATCTGTGAATGTGGGGGGAAGGGATTGTTAGTAATGAGATTTAACAGCCTCATTGCTAGCAATACACCCTATTAGATCGACCTCCACGCGGTTCTCCCTGGAAACCATAGTGGTTAATTCTTGTTTAATTGGTCCCTAAGGGTCAACTGACCTGCCTTCATCTTCACCTGTCACCCTTCACTGGTACCCCACTAGTGTATACCGATAGCGCAAGTGGAGGTCACTATTCCATCTTCACCCATTAAAAAAAACCTGTGCATGTTAAATTAGTTGGCCCATTGTGGCGACACTTTGGTTTCCAGGGGAACCGCAAGGAGGTCGACCTGACAGAGTATATTGCTATTAATAAAGCTGCCAGTCTAAATTACTAACAATTCCCTTTTCCAACCTCAGCCTGCAACATCGAATATGTCATACTAGACGATTTTGAAAAAAAGTTTGCCCCTTTTTAATGCTATAGTTTCTATAAGAGAAAACTCATTGAGAAGTTACTATTCAGTCATACAGATATACCTGCATATACTGTAATTGAAAGAAATTCAAATCAGAGTTCGAAGCTGGCTTTAAATTTTATTAATGCCACTATAATTATCATTGGGATTTGATTTTCTTATTTTAATAAAATTTCTGCTAAAGTAATTTTAAATCACCGTATTTTTAGAAACAATTAATAATTCTATTAGACATAATAAAGAGTTATAAGATTAATTTAATAGGGTATTTTAATTGACCTTTTATTAATATTCTTTAACAAAGATCGATTTAACTCACCTGGATTTTAATTCTGACTCTACCTACGGCATTTAATCATTTGGTAGATTGGGTAGCTATTAATTATTATTTTGTCTCAACAATGGCTTCTATTGGCGTCATACACTGTGATAGTTCTGTTTATACGATAGGTGACGATTAACTTTCCAATAAAAGCGTCGTGAGCTTATATGACATACTAAATTGCATGAAAAAATATTACAATAATTTTATATGAATGGTCTGAACAAAACTCTTATTAAAAACGAAAAAAATTAAAGCAGTATTTCTAAAAACTATTAAAATGTAAATTGTACTAACTTTTGTAAAAAGTAAACTACGTAGTAACAAAATACAAGATACTATAATGTGCGTTGAGTGTAGGTAATATCTACTTACAAAAAATTAAGGTGTAACCATAGGTTATACCTTCCCTCCCTTATACCTTGCAGCCTAGATGGTCGCGTTAAGCGCGATTGCAAAGATGGTTTCTCCCCTGAAACCTCTGGTTATGAAATGAGGTTCTTCAAAAAAGGGGTAAAGAGCTTTGTGCAGGGTCGGCAACGTGCGCGTAGTGCGCCTAGTATTGCAGGCGTTCATAGGCTACGGTAACTATTTTTTTTTTGATGGGTGAAAATAGTATGGTAACTCCACCTGCGCTAACGGGATACGTTGGCGGAGCACCAGTGAAGGGTGATAGATGAGAATGAAAACAGTCAGTTAGCCCATCATGATGAATTCATCAGGAATTAACCATGATAGTTTCCAGGGGGAACCGCGAGGAGGTCGACCTGGTTGGGTATATTGCTAGTAATGGGATTCTCAGTCTCCATTACTAACAATCCCTTTCCCCCCACGGTAACTACTTACCATCAGATGGGCGGATGCTTGTGTTGCCACCTCAGTGGTATAGAAAAAAATAAGAGGTGGCATAATTCAATATCTATACAACCGATTTTTGTTCTCAAACAAATTAAAATCATGTGTGATGTGTTTCAATAGAACGCAAAAAAGACGAACAAATTTTGTTAAAATTATCACAGAAACTCTAAATTAAATTAATAACAAATCGAGATGGTTTATCAATTAATGTATTTCTTTATTAATATTATTGCTATCGAACTGTTCTGTTATATTCTTTTGCTCAAAATTCCAAATTTGAAAGAAACTGACAAAACAGTGTAATAGTTAAAATGAGTTTTAGTTTTTTTATAAATAAGGCTGTAAGTGTACTTCCTTACTTAGCGATTCTTAAATGTGAAAGTTTAGGTTAAGAATCAGAAAAAAAATTAAAAAAGAAAGAAAGAAGAGTTTGTCTCAGCAGCTCAACAAATCGTCGTGAATATTTAGAAAATATAACTTATAATGAAAATAAATAATAACGAAAACAAAATCTTTTATACATATTAAAACTGGCCAATATCTCAAACATTTTTTTAATCAAGTCGTCTTATTGGTCGCCATCTAGTCACTATGTTAAAAGTTATATAAAAATAAGTGACACCTATTGACACCATGAGGTACTTTAAGCAAAGCAGTCTGCTACTGTATAGCGCCATCTTTAGTATCTTTCAATCGGTAACACTCATACTTCTCAAATTGTAATGCACAAATAGCTCACTAGGTGGCACTGTCCCTATATTTTAAGAATCATAATGCTCTCTATCGTACTAATATTGAATAAAAGCAAAGAAATAAGAAAATAATACTTTTTATAATATCAAAATCTTTTTTTTTAAATATAAATACTATAAATACAAATACAAAAAAATAAATATCATTTGTGTTTACTGCGTAGTAGACTGCTTTATCGATAAAACAACTTCCGGTTGGCGCTCTACAACATCACGCATACGCAAATTCATATCTGCAGCTGACTTCACTTTATAAATGTTCGATCTCTTGTAACTACGTCGAGGCTAGAGCTTTTTGGGATAACACTTTTCGGTAATTATTATTTTACTCGTTGCTTACAGTGTGATTTAGAAAAAAAATATTATTATTCTAGTCAGAGGTGAGTGCCGACTCAATTCGAAAGTGCTATGATAATGAAATCTTAATAATTTGGCGCGTTGAATACTGTCAACACGGTTAATAGTGTTCACACGGTGTCGTTTATGCACGTGTAATTTTAACATATTTGTGATTTTTGGTTTGCAGACATGGCTTTGAGCGTGGCATTACCTATAGTTGACTTGGAGACTGAGAATTTTAATTCATTCAGCTCATTCGGGCATATCATAGACATAGCGGGCCTTTCTCAATCCCAGTCAAGCCCGAGTCCATCAATCTCCAGTGAATCTAGCGGTATCGGCTCTCTGGGATCGCTTAAATCAGAGTCTGTGAACAGTGACTCCTTGCCGTCTAGTCCTCAGACGACAGAGAAGGTGAGTTATAAATTCGAAATATTTGTTTGCATTTGTCCTGTCCTTGACCCCTCTGTTTTCATAATATTCCGTAATGGCGAATATCCATATTACGCTATCAATTGTGTGCTTATTAGCAGCACATGATAATGGGAAGATTCCAGTATCACAGGTTATGCTATTTTAAACACTGCGTACTATGTATTTATGAGCTGTTATAGATTATACATAGATGCATTTGATATCAAAATGTCTTCCACTGATAGAACTTGCCAAAAAATTTATAGGTATTGTACAGGTACAAAGTGATATTTGTCTGTTGACATATCACATATTTTTATATCTTATAAATATCTATTTTATTATTTTCATATGTAATGATTTTTTCCCTTATTATAATGTTACATATTTCCTACAATTACAAATCAGATCTCTTATGTTTGTTTGTAATTTATGGTCACAGTGGAAAAGCTTTGCATATTAACTCTCAGCAATGAGTTTAGTTTATATATATATACAAGCCCTTTTACTTTGCATTCTTTATAACCCTAGTAAGACATTTTCCTTTTCTATTTATTATGTTTCTCAATTCGGTGTGTCTCCTGGCATAGGCCTCCTCCAGCTCTCTCTTTCACTTGATGCATGCTTAGATCTTTGTTCTTCATTATTTCTTTTAAAGTATAAATAATATCCCAAGCTGATCTGTATCAATCATAACCTTTTGTTACTCCTTCATGTAAAATTGTCTCAAAGCAAATTAAAGTTTGATTTTGTTGTAAATTTTTTAGAGATTTACAATGGTGAACCTTAATGTACTAAGAACTATTATAAACTATTTCATGATAGTTCTTAGTACATTTAGTAAATAATCTTAATATACTTTGTATTACAAAAACAAAATAATCATTTGCAATAATGAGTTAGTTTTTTCTTTTAATTTATAAATCTAAATATTAACAAAAGAACATCTTTTATTCTAACAATTCATATGTTTTACGTGTATATGTCTATTTTAGACATGCAAGATTTTTCACTAAAAAAAGCAGATAAATAAAGGCAAGAGTCTAAAAAGATTTATTTAGTCATAAATAATAAATATAAATATGTTTTTGTTTGATGCCATCAAAACATCAATAAAATATTACATATTGTTTTCAGAAAATCTTTGACCCTGTTGTGCAGCCACAGCCTCGCCCCAAGGAAAACATTGAAGATGTTAAAATTAATTATGGGGGCCGTGATCTTCTCAATTTGATGTCTAATCTCACTGATTCGAGGTGGAGCTACCGTGCTACGGTGCTGCCACCAAACAATCCAGCGCTGTTCTTTGCCAACCGTTCACAGTATCATCGACTTGGGCCATATGCGACTCGCACACAGTATGTAAAAGACACTTGCCGTGACTGCGGCTTCACATGGGTGGTAGCTGCCACAGATTGACGTGACAATGCATTAATGTAAACATTGAATAAACTAAGGTTGAGTGGGTACGACTGGGACACATCAGGGTGCATATCAACTTCTCTGTCACATAATGGTGGCCATGATGCCATTGTTAAACATAAGCCAATAACAAGTTTTAACTGTTTATGCATTATTGACGACTTGTCTTTACGAAGGGCAAAGACATTGTTATTAATTATATTAATTTTTACTTGTTTTATATTTTAATTATTTATTATAACTAATGAAATGTATTACTTGATATAATTTGAGCAATACCTATAAAGTTCCTTGAGTGCTGATGTTGTTGGCTTTGTGACAATTTCCTATTTATTATGTAGATGTGTATATGTCTCCCTTTTGTGGCCCAGTCCTTTAGATGACTGTGGAATATTTATATGGTTATCGTCACGCGCATTCGTAGAGTTAAATTTTAAACGTGACTTAATACTGTGATCTTAATTTAAACAAAGCAATTTTTGACAAATTCTGTGAATTGGACGCGCGACGATACATTACTTTCGTTTTTATTTTAACTTATTTGTTTGTGTGATATTGTTAGGCTTAATTAATGCTATGAACTTGCATTGCCATAAGATTTGCAGACTTATTCCAAATGAGCATTTCTGGGTCCTTCTCTAAAAAAGTTCACACTGATAATAATTCGAATCAAAATTACTCTGAATTCACACTTAGACCTCTTATAGTAAAAACATATTTAAAATTAACTTATATTATGCTATAATTAGTTCCTCTTAGAAATGTTAATAATTTGATATCCAAAGAATCTTAATTGTTTAATGTGCATATTATATTAACTATAAATAATAATATAATAAATAATAATTGTGGACCAGCACAATTTATATTGATTAGTATAAAATACAATAATTAGAGTGAGATCGACCAGTGGATTGTAATATGTCCATTTACTCTTAAAGCAATATTTAAATTATGGACATTTATCATAATGAGTTATACACTTCCCACCATTACATGTAATAGTTATTATTTAAATATTGTTTTATTATTATTATTATTATTCTTTAGTCTTTAGAAATAATGTTTTAGATATATTCCACAGTCATTCAATCAATTGGATCGTCATTGTTTTAACCAAAAGGCTGCTTCTCGGATGTTATTAAAGTTTACGATTATAACGAGATAGGCACGAATTTAAAGCCAAGCTATAGGTTAATTTTAAGATTTAATTATTGTTGGATTTACCGTCCGAGCATTACATAATAATAGTGTTGACCATATAATTTAGATTATACATTCTTGACACAATACCCTATAATCAAATACCTATCGAATTGATGAGATAGCTTGAACTCATTTAATATTATAACGAGCCCATGCGGAACATAGTCAAAATGGGTTATCAGTGCATATCATCACAAATTAATGCAGAGGTTAGATATTCTAAGGTATTAGTAGTTGTTACAGACCGTTTAAAAACGTTTGAGTCATTGATATGCCCAGATGCTGGGTTCTCTAGTGAAATTATTGTAAGTGTCATTGACAGACTGGCAATATCTCTATGTATGTGCATATATAAAATGTAATATTCGTGGTCTCTTAATTTAGTCAAGATATTTAATAGTGTGAGTCTCTTCGATTACAATGTAAGTAATGTATAACATACTAACTATAACGATTAATAATTGATACTGTCCTTTTGTGCAACTTTAGTTCTGCTACGTTGTGATCAGCTTTAAATTGGAACTGGAGTATTTCTACACAATAATGTTGACATATTTCCCACAAAGTTATTTTTATAAAAAAAAAAAATGTTGATATGAGACAATACAGTACGTAGTTTTTCAAAATTTTCTTTATAATATACGGAGTTCGCTTAAAAGGTTTGGCAAATGTTTTGGAAGGGACCAACATCCATGCAATGATTTAAGTATATTATTGAATTGTTTTATTTGTTTATCGTAGTAGCCAAATTTTATATCAGAGCAGTTGTTATCGCGATCAAAATTGTTTTAGGTATTGCATTTTCATATCAACTGCTTTAGTCATCGTAACACGCTTATTCCGTTGTCTGTTATCAATTGACAGGGGCTATGAACACAACCCATTACGATTTAGTTAAAACGTTTATATACATAATCAATTTATATTTGTATATTTATGATTCAGTGTGTAATTACTGAACATATAGCATGGATCTCAGAATGCAGCTAACAATAACATTCGTCTAAAAGATGCCTCCAACATAATCTTGGTGGCGAATAGGTATATAGTATTTAACAGGTATCATTGATGCTTAATGTGCTATATCCTCAGTCACATACTCACAAATGGTTGTTATTGGTTTTAAAATCAAATGTTGCATTCAATTATTTTTAGTTTGTAATATTTTAAAAAGCTGCAATCGAATGTAGTTCAAAGGAAAGTATTTGGAGCGATACGCACAGATATAGTTTAGCTCTTGTTGTGAATGTCTCCTATAAGTTTAGTATCGATTCCCTGTTGGCCCTTGCGAGCGGCGGCCGAGTCTAGTGGCCGACCGCCTTCTCTTTGTCCAACTAAAGAGGTCGAGGTGCGATGCAATATTTGCATTCCAATTTTGTGTTAATTTAGCAGCAGAGGGTAGTAGTTGTTAATTTTTATTTAATCCGCATTGCCAAATATTTTGGTTGTTGTGCTATTTATTTAACAAAAAATTTCTAAAAATATCAATTTAGTACCTTCCATTGATAAGTGTCTTCAAATAATTTTATAATGTTTTAATCATTTCAATTTTATGCATTTTATTTTAATTAGTCAAATCATATACTTGATATTATACATAATAATAATAATACGTTATATTATATATATTGTTCATTCATATTATATTTGAATATTTTTTTCTCATTGAACTGTAGTCAAATGACAGTATTTTTATAATGAAAATGTATAAGGATGAAGGGTTTTTTGGCTAGACGATGCGACCGCCAAAGCCCTCTTACCCGCTGATGCCACCCCGTGGCGCTGTGCCGGCAACTGCGGCAGAGGCGGCTGCTCGTCCAGCGTGTATTATATCTGATAAGCATTATGTAGGTTTAGCGAAATAGAATTAACTCGGAGATGAACTCCAAGTACCAAAACTTATTGGTTCAATGTTGTTCTCGTATTATGGTGATATAGTGCACCGCGCGCGGTGCAGAGCTCAATATTTTTAGTAACCCTTAAGAAAATTAATACCTCTTTTGAAAAGAATATAATATATATATATTATATAGTATATCCAATCGATAATCACATATGTATTTCCCCGTTTATTTTGATGTGATATCATAAATGACTGATCTGAATTTAGTTTTTAAGTTGGTTATTGATATGCAGTGCTATTTCGAGAGTGTAATTAAGATTTAATATTGAAAGTGCCAATGCTCGTAATTTAATCTATATGATGACTGTTCCTCTATGTTTCTAGCTATTTGTGAGAACTAGGCCCAACCCTCTGGGCCTAGATCGTTACTACACCTTCATAAATTTCAGTATAAGCCTCTTGTAAGACTAAGTTAATGACTATAATGAAATCACGTAACGTGCACAATCTCAATAATGCTTGCAATATTATGTATTTAAATCCTCACTTATAATTTAATCCAGCGTAATGTTAAGAGTACAATATGAGATGATGTTATATCATTCTAGTATCAAAATTAGCCGAAGATGTTTAATATTATTATTAGTTAGGTAAAATTTTAACATAGCTTCGTATAATTGGGATGTTTTAGTATTTGGTAGTGTATAATTACGGCGTAGTGGCAAGCAAAATGTCTCGTGAATGAAGTAATGTTTTGTGGCAATAATACTCGATGTAAGTTCCCTGCCAAGAGAGTGTACAGGGTCGCGTGCCGGCTGCGCTCGCGCCCCCTAACGGGCTCGTGTATACACAACTGAACTATAGACACTAGAACTTTATTTGTTGTAATTATAATAATAGCCGTAGGTATTTTATCGTACTTAAATAAATAATTATTCTTGCGATGCCTTAATTCTGGTTGTCAATTAGACATGTCTGCCTAGAGTGTTATCATTGTTTTTATTTATTTTAATTTTTTGCTGTTCCGGCTTCCTCCGTGAACTTCCAGTCCAGGCTGTTCTTCGTAAAATGATTTTGAGGTCGATTTATTTTTACCTAAGTGTTCTTATTAAATGTTACCAAAATGTTTTTAATAAAATATTTTTATATGTATATATGTGGTTTCATTCCGCTAGATATTCCAATGTCCTTTAGTTAGCCGGGCCGTAAACAAGTCGCTTGCAATACGACCAACATAGCACTGTGTCAAAAATAGGTAACGCCCAACTACAGTACGTAAATAGAGCAGTCTTATTATTTTTTTGTTTTGCGTGTGATATAATTTCTTAAGATATGGACGTTAACGATAAATTTGGTCACGTTTCTTGGCGTAAACATGTAATTTAGGCACAATGCCAATAAATATCTTTATTGGCGCACACGTTTCACAAGTGTTGGTTCTAAACAGGCAAGTCGACTGTTACATACCTATGTTGTCTACGTGTACAAGGTTGGAAGACAAGAAATCTGCCAATAATTTTAAAATTTCGACAGTTTCAATATTTGTCAATCGTTCACTGACTTCGCGAAGTCATATTAAAAGTTTGAATATAATTATTTTCAAACTAACAAAACTGCAGTTTCGCCCGCACGAATCAATACATAAAGTTACCTATGCGGTAAGTTAGAATATAACCTACTCGTGTGAGGGAATAGGAATTATTAGTAATTGGTTCTATCAGCCCAATAGTATTATTCCTAAAAAAATCGAGTAACAATGAGTATTCTCTCAATAAAAAAGCGACTTCAATCGTGTACGTGTCTATAAACGGTGTGATGTTTCATAGATACTGCGTAGATACATCGTAAATACTGCGTAATTTCGATTTTGCTTCAAAACCTTATTAAATGCAAAGAATTGTGAAAATCCATTCAAGACTAGCTATGTAATAGTATTAGAAAATCACAAATAAAAAATCAAAGGAATTGACAAACGTTTCCTTTTGAAAGTGTTTTAAAAACTATTACGTAAAAACATCTACTCGTACATACAAAATGCAGCAGATTCTCAGTTCGCCTGTTCTTTTCAATCGCCTTCAAAAAAGGTTCTCAATTTGTTTGTATTTTTTTTTTGTTTGTAACCATTTACATTGTACATTTATAAACCGATTTGGTTTTTTTTTTTATCTGAAAGGATATATACAAAATCAATTCAGTAGTTTAATTTTTAAATTAAAATATCTGATTTAGCTGTAATTGATTTTTTATTAAACACAATCTGAATTGTATGTAGGAGATACACAAATGAGATTGTCTTTGCATTTGATAATATTTCCTCTAGTGTAGGTCTATATTTATCACTTATGTAAATTCTACTTATAATATCCTAACTTCTACATTTAACACGTTTCAACATTCCAATTTCAAAAATAGGTAATTAAAATAGATATTTAAAAATTGTGACTATATGAAACACGCCGTCGTCTGTCGACGTATTTTATATATATTCTTTACTAGTCTTTATTCGCGACTTCGTCCGCGTAACTAGGATAAAAATATATATATAATAGATAGCCTATATCCTTCACAATTTCATATAGTATGTGTATGCCAAATTTCATAGCGATTGGTTAAACCGTTAAGGCACTATAAGGTAACAAAATAAAGTAAAACAAACCGACTTTCACATTTATAATGTTACTAAGAATTACACAGTTTAACAAGTTTTACAGCAATTAACTACTTGTTGGCAAGGGTGGAGTTATCTCTGAAAGCGATCTCTTCCAGCCAACCCAATGCAGTGAGAGAGAAATTCATTAGGGAATAGTCTAACATAGAGCAGGAAAACAAATATAATATAAAAAAATATAAATATTTCTATACGTGCAGTTTAATTCCTAATGAGACAATTTTATTACAATTTATGTATTTTTTGCCACTTAGAATAGCAAATAAGCTCATGGCCCACCTGACAGAAAGCGGTAACCGTTGCCTATAGAGATGAACAGTATACCATAGACATAACAGAGTATACTGTTTCGCTCATAATACCCTCCATGCGTTACCATTCCTGAGGACTAAGGTGTTATGCCTCTGTACCCTGTAAATTTACTGTCATATCCCACCCTTCAAACCGAAACACAACCATGCAAACACTACTGTTTCATGGTAAAAACACGAATGAGACAGAGGTACCCAAGCAAACGACTTTTGTACAAAGTCTCCCTCTGGTAAATGTAATTGTTTTTGTAGGTCATTTTGTACCTTTTAACTTTTATTCTATCGTCACTTGTAATATATTCATATTTGTAAAACTTTGTTTTTTGTCGTATAAATGAATTATATTTTTTTAAGAAAATAAATATATTAACCATAGAACATAAAATCTAGGCTTTTATTACATTATGGTGAACTTGGTGGCGTAGTAGACCACTAGAAAGTGAGGCACTTTCCAGTGGTCACAGTTTCGATCACTGCTTTATCAAAACATTTTGAATTTATTAATATCTCTATTTTCAATGATGTCTGGGTATTCTTTTTCATATATCATTATTATCTTCATTTCAGCCATTATCCGTCCACTACTGAACATAAGTCTCCATAGATCCATATCCATAGGTTTCCATAGATCGCCATAAGTAACGGTCCTGAACCACCTGTATCCACTGACTCCCTGCAATACATTTGAGGTCGTCACTCCATCTAATGAGGGTTTTTTTATGGGTGATAATGGAATGGTAACCCCACCCGCGCTAACGGTATACACTGGCGGGGCACCAGTGAAGGATGATAAGTGAGGATGAAGCAGGTCAGTTAGCCCATCGTGACAAATTCAACAAGAATTGTTCACGATGGTTTCCAGGGGGAACCACGTGGAGGTCGACCTAATATATTGCTAGCAATGGGGCTGTCAAACTCCATTGTTAACAATCCCTTTTCCCTCTCTAATGAGGGGTTGTCCTACACTGGGTATTTAAAAGCCTACCAGTTGCCTTATACCCATAGTACAAACCTGTGCTTAGTTTGGAGGTAGGTGTCGTAGTATAATGTGCAGTTGATATTTATTTCCTATTTATTTTGTTCCATTTTCTTCAGAAAATGGTATTTAAATTTATCATTTACAAATATTTTTCACTGATTTTCGAATAACCGAATAAAATTATGAGTCTTTTCGTTGCATCTTTTATTAATACCTACCATAATAATTACCGCTTCATGTTCTGTAAGTGTTTTAAAAGGCGACTAAGAGAATTTAATGGGAGAGCGATTGGCAGTGTCCGTCTTAAAACATCACCAAATCCTAACTGCGGTTGCCAGGGGAAAGGGATTGTTAGTAATGGGGTCTAACAGCTCCATTTCTAGTAATGTAGCCTATCAGATGGACCTCCACGCGGTTCCTCCTGGAAACCATCGTGGTCAATTTTCGTGGAATTCTTCACGATGGGCTAACTGGCCTGCTGCCATGCTATCACCTCTCATTGGTGCCCCGCCAGCATTTACCGATAGCGCAGACGGTGTTACCATTCCGTTTTCACCCATTAAAAAGAAACTGCGGCTTTTTTTTTTACAACACAGGGGGCAATCGAGGCTGCAGCTCACCTTATGGTGACTACCGCTGCCCATGGTCACCCACAACATCTACGGCATTGTAGGCGTGCTGCCGGCCTTTTAAAAAGGAATATGCTCTTTTCTTGAAGGTTATGTTGTCGTATCGGTTCGGAAATACTGCTGCTGGAAGTTGATTCAAAAGAGTGGTTGTGCGTGGGAGAAAGTGCCTTGAAAAACGCACGGTGGAGGACCGCCACTCGTCCAGATGGTTGGGATGTTTTTTAGTTTATGGCGGGTTGTACGATGGTGAAAATCAGCAGCAGGTATTAATCCAAATAATTCTTCAGAGCACTCCCCACGATAAATTCGGTAGAAGATGCACAGAGATGCAACATCTGTACGCTGCTGCCTACGTGTCAGCAGTGGGCAATTAACGGCTGATATAATAATAATAAAAACTACTTATATAAATCAATACATGTTGTTGATTTTTGTTTATATATGGTAAGTAGATAGATAACGTAATTGTCTACATTGATATCTAGTGTAAATATCATGATCTTAACGAGCTATATGTACCTACGTAACAACTAAGAACATATCACAAGTAAATAAAAATATTCATTCACATTAATATTAGTTAAGCGCCTTAGTAAATAAATATCAGTAAATATCAACAACAGAGACATTATAAGCAGTTACAAAATATGTTGAGTCCTTAGATTGAGTCATGTTGTATTATCAAATTTAGAGAGATGGATGTGAAGACGTGCAAGACATATTATTGCAAGATTTCTGCCTGTTTCTGTGACAGATATGTATGTATGAAATAAAATCGCTGAGCTAGAAGAGTGCTGGAGTGAAGGCTCAGAGCATATACCCGCGGTGGGAGAGAGCAATCATACCACAGATAATATAATACTATACTAGATAAAACCACAAGAATAACCTGCGTAATTTATTGCTAAAATAATAACCGGAGGAGAGAGCACATAAGTTAATGTGTTTTTTTGTCAAAATTGCTCTTTTCTTTATACAATAAAAAATATATATGTAGTACTCTAGTAGTTTTTAAACATAAGATGACTATACCTAAGAGATGGTCGGATGACATTCACCAACCGGCAAGAAATGGATGCAAAAGCGAAGAATAGATATAGTCTGACATACCGACCAGCATAGACAGTACAGACCGTAGATAATGATCTATGGTCCTAATATGGATGCGAAAAGGGCCCTTTTCTCAAAGAGATAAAAGTAGACTGTTAATCCCGCCTTAGTTATTGACATATGCGACTCACGATTCTTCTTGGGAACAATCGTGTTCTGTTCCAAGTGAATTCATCACAATGAACTAACTGGCCTGCCTTTTCAACCTTATCTATCAACCCTCAATGGTGGGGGAAAGAGATTGTTAGTAATGGAGTTTGACAGCCCCATTGCTAGCAATATGCCTTATTAGGTCGACCTCCACGTGGTTCCCCGTGGAAACCATCGTGAACAATTGTTGAATTCGCCACGATGGGCTAACTGACCTACTTCATCCTCATCTATCATCCTTCCATTATAATTCGTTTAAAAAAATATGTTGTTAGCAATGGAGCCGTTAATCCCCAATCCTGTCC